GGGAGGGCGCGGGCAGCCCCGGTGCCCGTCGTGGTGAGCAGCGCCGACGCGGACGCGGCGCGGCCACTGCGGGGGCTGCTCAAGTCGCCGCGCGGGACCGACGAGTCCGAGGACAGCGAGCTGGAGAGGAAGCGCAAGATGGTCTCCTTCCACGGGGACGTGACCGTCTACCTCTTCGACCAGGTCAGTGAGAGGCCAGCGCGCGGGAAGCAGGAGGAAGGGCCAGCAGGGCGCTCCGGGGGCGGGGCCTGGGTGGGGGCGGGGCATAGTAGATGGGGCGTGACCCAGGAAGGCAATCCCGTCCGTCATTGGTCGTGGCCTGGATGAAGGGCGGGGGCAGGAAGACTGCTCCACCCTGTTGTGGGTGTGGTCTGTGGGTGGGCGGAGCCTTTGGTTGGGCGTGGCCAAAGAAGTAGCTCTAGCCCAGAATGGGACTGGGCATTGAAGGAGCAGGGCCAGAAGAAAAGTCTAGCTTGTTTTTGTTTGCCAGCAAGCCTGAAAGCAAACTGATTTATAGCTGACCCTCTGGCGGGTTTTCAGAAGCAGTAAATTGCATGAAAGGAAGTTCTGCTTCCTCCAAGGAGGAGCTGGAGATTTGAACCGCGTGCCTTTGGGATTGCAGTGCAGCTAGGTGTCCAGACCTCATTGAAGGAGTGTGGTCTGGAGAAAGGCCGAGCATGGTGTGTGCTGGAGCCTGGTCTAGAGGGCTGACCCCATCAAGAGGCGGGATCCTGAGCCGGCCTGACCTAGGAGAGGTCCCCAGAAAGAGATTCCCCAGAAAGGGTGGGAGGCCTTGAGGAAAGCTGAATCTAGAAGGGTCTCAGAGGGAGTGGGTGGGGGCTAGGAGCGATCAGCTAGGGAATAATGCGTCCTTGAGTGTGGAGGTGAGGATCTCAGGACCTTAGAACCCCAAAAGATGCAGGAAGTGCCAGTAAAAGGAATGTAGCCTAGAATTAGCGCATGACCTTGGATGGTTCTAGATACTCTCATAAAACACTAGTTGTAATCCTATGATATGACTTAGTGGAAAGACTCTTGAGAGCGTCATGATCAGAGGACAGATGGAAGTTTCTATAGACTAGGGAGTGATTGGAGAGGGAAGGAGAGATATGAAGAATGAGGACAGGCCTTAAGTCCAAGTTACTGCTCAATGTGGCCTGCAAACACTGAAGAGAAGGCCTGGATGGGGTTAGAACGTGGTTTGAAGATGACCGGAGCCTGGAGAGGTTTGGGGAGGTACATGTTGGACCAGGCTTTAGTGGTAAGAGAGGGGGATGGGAGAGTTATGGCTGGAATTGAATCTCACCGTCTGGGGACAGACCATCAGAGGCAGGTGGCATCTATGAGGTGTTTTGAAGGCGTCTCTGATTCATAGCGATTCTGGTTGCAGAAGAATAAAGCACCCCTCCCTCCCCCGTGCTTAAACACATCGTTGCTGCAGTTCCGTCAGTCTGTCTCCTTCAGGGTCATTCTCTTTTTCAATGATCTATTTTTTCAAGATGATGTCCACCTCCAGGAACGATCCTTCCTAAAAACATGCTCAAAGCACGTGAGACAAAGTCTCACCGGCCTCGCTTCTCAGGAGCACTCCTTCTGCACTTGTTCCAAGACCGATCTGCTCATTCTTTTGGCAGTCGATGGTCTATTCAATACTCTTTGCCAATGCCACAATTCAAAGGCATCATCTTATTCAAAGGCAAAGTATTCACTGTCCAACTTTCACAGACATACAGGGCGACTGGAAGATGCCATGGCTTGGGGCAGGCACACCTTAGGCTAAGATGGGCGAGATCGTGCTGTGTTGGGTGGGGGTACAATCAGGATGCTGATTTTGAAGGCTGTAATAACAGGTGGTTCCAGAAGCCAGCAGCCAAGCTCTCCAAGGTACACATAGGGAGGTTAAGAGAGAGACTGGTTTAAAGAGAATGAGTCCCCAATCTGAGCTGCTTGTCTGTGGGCAGGCCTCAAAGATGGAGAGCACCTGAGACAGAACCAAGGGCTGGACAGGGAGTAAGGAAGACTAGAGCCCCGCAGTCAGGAAAGGGCTCCATAAGTCAGAGGTTGAAGTTGTGAATTGGGGTGCCCCGCTGGACTTGACGAGCTACTGGGGTGCGGTGGGTGGGTATGACAGCCTGCCCCCCCCCTCGTCTCCCTTCATCTGCTTTTTCAGGAGACGCCAACCAACGAGCTGAGCGTCCAGGGCCCTCCCGAGGGGGACACGGACCCATCAACGCCCCCGGCGCCCCCGACGCCTCCCCACCCCACCACCCCCGGAGATGGGTTTCCCAGCAACGACAACGGCTTTGGTGAGGGACGAGGCTGAATTTGGGGACATGGACTAGGAACGGAGAGGCCTTGAATGAGGCAATTTGCTAACAGGCCCAGGGCTTGGGGAAGAAGGAGCGGGACTGGCTGAGATGGGGTCTCAGTAGGGTTGGCTGCGCCTGGGGGTGGAGCCTGAAGTGAATGGGGTGGAGTCTAGTGAGAGTGAAGTCTTAGGGGCGGGGGTTTCTGTGAATAGGCGTGGTCTGGGCGGGACTGGACTCTGCCTGGGGCGTGGCCCGATGGGGAGGGGAGGGGTAAAGTTGGGGGCGGGGCCTGAAGAGATTCTGCATTGAGGTTGGAGGAGGGTGGAGCCTGGGAAGGACTTTGATAGGGTGGCCTCTTCTGGGCGTGGCCTGGGTGAGACACGCCCCTCAAGTCAGGGGAGCTGCTTTTGGATGGTCCCAGAGTCTAACTTTGTCCTCTCCCCCACAGGAGGCAGTTTCGAGTGGGCGGAGGATTTCCCCCTCCTCCCCCCGCCAGGGCCCCCCCTGTGCTTCTCCCGCTTCTCCGTCTCGCCTGCGCTGGAGACCCCGGGGCCCCCCGCGCGGGCCCCCGACGCCCGGCCCGCAGGTAGGGTACCTCAAATCCTCCATCACTTCTGTCTTTTCCTCTCTCTCTGCTCTCAGAACGTCCCTGCCTTCCTTCCGTCCCTGAGCCTCTGTTTCCCATTCTGTAAGGATTCTCTTCACAACCCTGCCTGCCTTTAACCTCAGACCTTTGCCTCGCTTTGGCCAGGATCCCCCATCTCACCGAGTTTCAAGGGGGTGCAAAGGCAGAGGAGACTCATAGCAAGAACATCAGCGCAGGAGAAACTGGTCAGTAAGAAGTAGAAAACAAGTACAACTATGGAAAAGGGTAAAAAAAAAAGGAGTAGAAAACAGAGGACAGGCAGTGAATCAGAAAATAATAACGACAACTCTGCCACGAATATTAATAACTGCAAGCACTTACGTAGACCTGACAATGTGGTTAACATTAACTTGTTTAATCCTGACTAAGAAAAAAAAAAAAATCCTGACTAAGATCCAGTGAGAAAGCCCCAGTGGCTACTGGGTAAGGAGTTGAGCTGTTAGAGGTTGGCGGTTCAAACCACCATCTGCTCTGCACGAGAAAGACGATCTCTATCCCTGTAATTTTGTTGTTGTTAGGTGCAATCGAGTTGAGTACCACTCATAGCTACCAAACCCTGTGCCATCCTCACCTTCACGGACACACTTGAGCCCAAAGCTACTGTCTCTGTGTCAATCCGTATTGTCGTGAGTCTTCCTCTCCTTTGCTGGCTCTCCCCCTTTCCAAGCTTGATGTCCCTTTTCAAGGAGTAACTCCTCTTAACCTTTTCCCAAGGGATAACCTTGCCTAACAACATTCCCATAAAATATGTGAGATGCGAAAAGGAAAGATTTCCCCCTGGCAACACATTCTCCAAGACATAGCTATTCATTCTTTTTGCGGTTCATGGGATATTCAGTACTCTTCTTCAATACCACAGCTCAAAAGCACTGATGCTTTTTCTGTCATTCTTATTCATTGCCTAGCTCTCAGATAGACGCTAGTGTTTGAAAAGACCATGGCTTGAATCAGGCACACCTTAGTCTTTAAACTGACATCATTACTCCTTAATATTTTTGGAGAGGTCCTGGACAGCAGAGTTCCCCAATGAAACATATCTTTTGATTTCTTGGTTGTTGGTACCAAGGGCCCAGTTTGCAGCCTCTAAAACCTGCCGAAAGCTAACTATGAGTCAGTTCAGGCTCAACAGTAAACAAAACAACCATATGGTCCCCCAGGAGGTCTGGTGGCATAATGTGTAATGTGTCAAGCTGCTAACGGAAAGGTCTGCAGTTTGAATCCACCAGCCGCGGGAGAACGATGAAGCCATAAAGATTGTTGTCATTGTTGCTGTTGTTGTTATGTTCCATTGAATTGACTCAGACATAACCATTGTATGTACAACAGACAAAACCCTCCCACAGTCCTGCACCATCCACACAATGTCCACTGTGCCTTGTCACAGACACGGTGTCACTTCACCTCCTTGAAGGTCTTCCTCTTATTGGTTGACCCTCCCTGGAAATCCAACGGGCAAGTTGCACTACATAGGAACACTGTAAGTCAGAACTGACTCAAAGGCTTTGGATTCTGGTTGGGTTTTTTTAACCATATTGATCCCTGGGGGTGGGAGGTCGTGTTAGCCCCGTTTTACAAAAGAGAAGCAAGCTGATTTGCAGAGAGATCACAAAGCACAGCGTAAGGAGCCAGGATTCACACAGCCAAGCTTCCCAGTTGCTGAATCAGTGTCTGCTTCGTGCGTCCCCATTTGTCAGGCGCCTCTCCTGCGGCGTTTCGTGTTCCGATCGCTGGTTTTCACGACCGCCTCGGGAGAAGATCACATCGCTTTGCATTTACTGACTGTGCTGGAGGCCGCGGCGTCCCCGCGCTGCTCTCTGCTGCCGCCTGCTGGCCATGCGGAAAACACCACACCGCGAGACGCAGGGCTTTCCCTGGGCGGTGCATGTGGATAGGGGTGTCAGGGTGCCTTCCCGAACCCTCAAACCCTAGTTCAGGTCAAGTGTTGGCTCTGTCACTCCACGACTAAGAGAAAATCCTTTCCCCCTTTCTGTGCCTTAGTTACCTTATCCGAATGGGAATAACAACAAGATCTACCATATAATATTGGTGAGAGATTAAAAAGGAAAAACGGAGCACCGCATCTGGTCAGATAGCACCAATCTCTAATCAGTAGCTGCTGCTGCTGCTGCTGCTGCTGCTTCCTCCTCCTTCTCTCCTTTTCTTCCTCCTCCTCCTCCTTCTCCCCTTCTCTTCTTCCTCCTCTTCCTCCTCCTCCGCCTCCCCCCTCTCCCCCTCCTCTCTCTCTCTCCTCCTCCTCCTCTCAATATTGGATGAGTGAGCTTGAGCCTGCAAGCTGGCCCTAGACTTTTCCAAGTCCTTCTTTCTTGGTCTCCAATTCTTATGTGTCCAAGGACAGAAAACCACAGACATGCCTTTGTAGAAGGAAATAACTACTTCTTAAGAGATAATTGATTGTTGTGTTTTTATTGACACAGCTGTTCAGTCATCTCCACACAAGTTATTTCAGGAACACTGGTCACAATAAGTGAACGTTCCCAAGATTTACATTCTGGTGGTTCTGTATCTGTGAGTCTAGTTTCCCTGCCCCTTTCCCATCTCATCTGTGTTTTAAGCTAATTGTTGGCAGTTTGGCCTCCTATCGATGGTTTCTTAAAGGAACACCACCATTAGCAACGATGCTCATTATTTTGGGAGGCAAACAGTTATAAAGCTACACAGGGACAGGGGCCAGGGTTATTAGCTTTAGTTCAAGGTATGAAGAATAGCACAGACCAGAGTTTCCGAGAATTCTCCAGTCTCAACCAGTCCAGGAAGTCTGGTTCTTGTTTTCTTAGAGATTTGAGGTTCTGGTCCCCATTTCTCCCATTCTGTTGAGGCATCAGGATGTACGTATGGTGACTCTGATTAGAACCTTCAGTAGTGGGAGCCAGGTACCATCTGCTTCTTTTGACCTCAGAGCAGATGAGGCTGTGATTTATGGTAACTTTGCTCTGTAGATGGATTTGTTCTGGAGATTTGTTCTTTGAGTATTTGGTTTCCCTCCTTCCCTTTTACTCTCGACAAATAGAGACCAATAGGTCTATCTCAAATTTGCTATTATCCTATTATGCTTAAATAACCAGTGCCAATGACTGGAGGAGAGTGGATTTTGACTCCTGGTCACCCCATGTGTGTCAGAGTAGAACTGTGCTCCATAGAGTATTCAAGGGTCATTTTTTTTTCCAGAAATTGATTGCCAGGCCCTTCTTCCAGAGGTGGACTCAAACCTCCAATCTTCTGGGCAGCAGCCAAACGCATTAAGCGTTTTGTACCACCCAGTCATTCTGTGCTTAGGACTTTTCTTGGCTATAAACTTTCTGAAAGCAGATCTTTCTTTCAAGGCATCCTTAGGTGGGTTCAAACTGCTGAGCCCGTGGACAGCAGTACAAAAATCTGCGCAGCCCTGTATCATCCTCTCTATGGGGGCTGTGTGATGCCCCAAGTGCGAGGGGCGGAGGATCCGGGTCAACCAGCTCAATGGCTGCCCTTCTTTCCAGATAGATCTCACGCGTATCCACTAGGTGGCGCTGTGGGGCACCAGGGAGCCCCACGCTGCCTTCCTCTCTCCAGACCCCAGACCTGAGACTCCCGCCACGCGCTCCCGTAATAAATGTGCACCTGCAAATTCAGGGATTCAAAGCAGATCCCACAAGGAAGGGACATGACCTGGAGACATGGAAGGCTTCCTGGAGGAAGTGGCATTTAAGCCAAGCCTGGATCGAGATGAAGAGAGGGAGAGGGTGATGGGCAGACCAAAGAAACTGCCTGGCTTGCATGAAGGACCAGAAGCAGAAGGGAGGCCAGGAGGTGGGGGATTCCATAGAGGGTGTTGCTGGAGGGTGGAGAGGAACGCTATGGAGGTCATGAGTGTGGACTGAGGAGCTGGAACTTGACGTGAGCAGGAAGAGGCAGGTCAGCTCTGGGTGGAGAAGGTGCTTCCGAGGCCTTATAGTGGAGGACCCGGGAGATGAGAGACTGGGACAGGCTAGGGAAAGTGGGGGAGGGTGAAGGGGCTGGGGCTTCCCGGATGGCCACAGCCATGCAAGGCGTGGGGACACTGGCCAAGCGATGAGTCATGGCTGAGGCCAGCAGAGTGAGCAGGACGACGTCATCTTTAGTCACCAGGACAGGAGGCTGAGGGGTGCAGTCGTGCGGAACCCAGATGCCTTCCTAGACAGGGGCGGGGTGTACCAGACAGCCGCTGAGCCCGGCTGCTCCCTGAGATCAAGGCGGGAGGGAGTCCCTTGGGGTCTCCTGTTCACCCACAGACTCCTGTACTGAGGGTGGCTCTGCCCAGCCCAGGGTTTGCCAGGTGCTGCTACTAATAATAGCCCTGTGGTTAAAGAATCAGCTGTCCCAAAGGGTCGGCAGTTTGAACCCACCAGTCGCTCCTCAGAGGAGAGATGAGGCCGCCTGGTTCCCTTAAGATTTAAGGTCTAGGAAAGTCTGTTGGGACAGTTCTCTGTCACACAGGATCCCAGCCCTGAGCTTGGTTGGGTTTTGTGTTCCTGCTGGAGAAGAGTATTGAGAACACCATGGACTGCTAAGAAAACAAACAGATTCAGCCTGGAAAGGGTTAAACCGGGTGGCTCCTTGGAGGCAAAGATTCTGAGGCTCCCTGTAACATACTTTGGACATGTTGCAAGGAGAGACCGGTCCTTGGAGAGGGACATCATGCTTGGGAGGGTGGAGGGACAGCGCAGGAAGGGAAGGCCCTCTATGAGGTGGATTGATTCAGTGACTGGGATAATCGGCATGGGAGTGTCAGAGACAGTGCGATTGGCACAGGACAGAGCAGAGTTTAGGGCTGTTGCACATAGGGTCACTATGACGGCACATAACAACAGAACAACAATGGTGGCCGTCATTAGAACAGCCCCGTCGTGTTTTCCAAGCTGGCATCTTTTCAAGAGACAAGTATTTCCTTTGCTGAGTGGGTTTGACCTTCCATCCTTTAGGTTAACGAGCTGGCTGCTAGCCAGAATCTTAGTGGTTTGAATCCATCCAGCAGCTCAGAGGAGGAAGGACATGGCAGTGAGCTCCCAGGAAGATGACAGTGTGGGACTGTCACCAGTGCTGACGGGGGGACAGTTCATCTTCATCTGGTGGGGTTACTCAGTTAGAGCTGACTTGATGGACTCTCATCACATAGATCCCCACACCTGAAACCCCAATGTGGCAGAAATACAGTCATTCTCCCCATTTTATGACAGGAAAACTGAGGCTCGGGCCTCGGGGCTGAGGACAGTGACCAGGGCCCAGCAGGCAGGATCTATGAGATGGGTGTGGCTTCATTCTGCTGCAGTGGATTAAGCACTAAACTGCTTAGCTGAGAGGTCAGCAGTTCAAACCCACTGGTTGCTCTGCGGAGAGCAATGTTGCAATCTGCTTTGGTAAAGAAAGACTGACAGCCTTGGCACCGTGGAGGGAGGGCAGCAGTGCTCCTCCGCCCTGCAGGGTTCCCGAGTCCAAATTGGCCCAGCAATGGGAGTGGGCTCGGGGCTGGACACAGGATGCGTCACTGACCAAAACACAGTCCCTGTTGTTGGGAAGCTGACAAGCAGCGGGAGGCAGCAGGCCTAGTGGAAGCCTGAGATGATTCCAGAAAGAGCCACATGCAGAGACATCATCTGGGTGCAGCAGTGACTGGGGGCAGGGTGACTAACGGTAGAGTCAGGCCTCTGAGGATGGAAACACAGATGAGGCTGTGCAAAGGCCCTGGGGCAGGACTGTGCCTGGGGTGTAGAAGGAACCTGGGGGAGCCGGTGTGATTGGAACTGAGAGTGAAGAGGAAAATAGAGAGGTGAGTGCAGAGCGGGGAGGGGCCAGCTTCCAAGGGCTGTGTGGACTTTTTTTTCCAGGCCCCGTGGAGAACTGATCCCCCGAAGACCCGACCCCCCAGCACCCCCAGAAGAGGGGTTGAGAGTAGAAACCTCTGTGGACGACGGAGCCACTGCCACCACCGCAGACGCCGCCTCCGGGGAGGCCCCTGAGGCAGGGTCCTCCCTTTCCCCCACCATGTGCCAAATGGGGGGCCCCGGTCCCCCACCCCCCAGCCCTCCAGACGGCTCCCCTGATCCCCCTGACCCCCTCGGTGCCAAATGAGGCAGGAAGCCCACCCCCCATCCCAGAGCCACCCTTCTCAGAACTGAGCTGAACTCTTTGGGCCTGGAGCCCCCAGGCACGGCGAGGCCCCTCCTCACTTAACTCTGAACCCCGGACAGGGGCTGCAGGCTTTGGGGACCTGGACTCCCCCATATCGCGTCACCCTCTCCCCTCCCCAGCCTGGCCCCTGGAGGGGCCGCTGGCCTGAACCTGTGCGTGGCATTTTCACATTATTTAAAAAAGACTAAACAACTTTTTTGGAGGAACAAAGGGCCCGTGTGTGTTTGAGGAGTGGGGTGTTTGCCCAGGAGAAACCAGAACATTCTGGAACATTCCATCAGCCGCTTGACAAAAGGAGCCTGGAGGCTCAAAAATGCAGTTTGTGTGTGTGGCCTCCAACAGGTGCTCATGAAGGGGGGGTGCAGGCACTCTGTGGGGGGTGGTCAGTTTCCTATCTGCACAAAGGGGTGAGGGGAGAAGCGGGAGCTGTCCTCCATGTTCCTCACACACACACACCTCAGAAGAGCCTGGCCTGACCCTCAAAGGTCACCTTCAGAGTTCCTGCCTGGGAGGGCTCTGCCTCAGTTTACCTGTTTCTCCCCAGGACCACCCTCCTCCCTGACCACGCCTCTCCAGCCACATTCTTCCTACTTCTTAGGACCCTAGGAGGCCCTGGACGGCCTGGAATAGCTGAGTGCTGGACGGCTGACCGCAAGGTTGGGGGTTCAAAGCCCCCAAGAGATGCCTCCAGACTCAGAGTCGATCCTGACTCCAGGTGACCCTGGGACACAGCGGACGGCCCCCTGGGGTTCACAGGCCGCACTGGGAAACATTGGTGGGGTTCCAACTGCCGGCCAACGTTTAACACCCTGTGCCACCAGGACTCACGCACCAAAAGGCCCTTGCACACCCCACAGGTCACCCGACAGGCTTTCCTGTGTCACCCCCTGGCAACCATCCGTCTCCAGTGCTGCTTTCTGTCATCTTTTCCTTTACGGCCTTTTCTGAGACCTCCCTCCGCCCGATTCCCTCCGAGCAGGTCTGTCTCTGACCTCGTGTTCCCCACACCTGTCCCCGTGCCCTCAGTACCCAGGTCGTTCGCCTATTTTCAGGGGGAGGTTTGGATGAGGGGAGAGGGACAGAGCACGGGTCCCAGGCTGGCATGCTGAGGGCTCTCGTCTCAGGCTGGTGGGGTGGGTGGCACTAGGACCAAGTAATACATTGAGGGGGAAGGGAGAGAGGATTATGCTTTTGTCAATGAAACCCAGCAGTGCAGACCTGACCTTGTGAGAGGTTACCTGGGTGGCATGCTGTGTGGACCCAAGGGGTCAGGACTCCTCGGTCTGAGAGAGGAAGGGCCTGGGGGGAGGCTTGGACTCATGCATCCTGAGGGAGGGGACTGGGGGTCAGGACTTCTAAGTCTGGGGGAGGAGGGGCGGGGGGGGGGCTTGGACTCCTTGGTCTGAGGGAGGTGGGGGTTGGGGGCCTGGGCCTGAGGGAGGAAGAGCTGTGGGGGTCAGGACTCCTGGGTCTGAGAGAAGAAAAGAGTCAGCGGGAGCTAAGAGCCTGAATCTTCAGTCGCTGGAGAGGAGACAGGACAGAGGGACAATTCTGAGACGATCTGCGCCGGGTTGATGTCTCTGGGTTTCCGAGGCCGCAGCTCTGTACCTGGGGCCGTCACGGATGAAGCCCCGGAGAAGCCCACCAGGCCACTCTCCTCAGTCCCAGGGGGCAGCCAGGGGGCGGGGGCCACGTCAGCCGCACACAGTCTGTTCTGTACATGGAGTCGGCTGCCAACACTCCACCGGCGTCTGGTTTAATTTGGTCAAGACAAAACCACTTATTTTGTCCCCCGAAAAACCTTCCCTTGGCCATTTCGGTGAAAATGGTCAGTGACGCAGCAGCAGCCCCACACTTAGAGGTGGTGGCGCAGTGGCTGTGACAAGGGCCTCACACAGCGGCGGGGACGGCGCAGGACCCGGCTGGCTGGGCTTGCTTTGTGTTATGTGGGGTCACCAGGAGGCAGGGCCGATGTGAGGGCCCCTGACAGTCATCTCTAGTCTGGGAAGGCACCTCGGAACAACCCCAGCTCATCTGCAGAAGCTGTAAATTACACACAGGAGGCAGCTGCCCGTCTCTACCCCTCAGAGCACCTGGAGGACTGGAACCAGGTGACATTGGGATGCCAGCCGATCTCCTCACCCACGAGGCCACCACCGTCCCTGGTGGGGGGGCAGTGGACCCTGCAAAATCGCCTCGAGCACAGACACCAGACTCTGCCCTCTGCACACCTGCGTCCAAGCCTCTTCTCCTTGGAAAGGCCAAGTTTAACTCCACGTGAATCCTCTGCACCCACCTTCTCACTTGAGTGCACCCCAGCAATCAAGTCACCTGAACTGCACCTCCGGACAGCACCCTGCCCTCACGCGCTGAGAACCAGCCCCCAGGAGCTGGCCAGTGCAGGGGTCACACTTGGCCAGCCCCCCACCGCCCAGCACGCAACTCTAACGTCCTGAGAAAGGAGGGGGTCGCAGGCTGAGAGTGGTTAAATAATTAATAAGATTACCAACAGTGTGTTAATTACAAATAACGAGGGAGGAGCCGGAGGTGGTGCATTTTCCAAAGGGGGAACCAGGATCCGCAGGCCCAGGGGTCCGGCCACCCAGGCGGGCGGCTCCGCAATAAATAACGGCGTCGGGGAGGGGTCAGGGCTGCTCCTGCTTCTTCTTGACGGAAATTCGCTTTTTCCGCGCCGCCAGCATCTCGTAGAAGGGGTCCACGCTCACAGCCGCCCTGCAGGGGAGGGGGTCCAGGGTGAGGGTGAGGGCCCGGGCCGCAGCACCCTGGGGGCCCCCACACCGTGCCTCGGGGGCCCCCACGTACTGGATGGACTTGATCCACTCGTCCTTCTCCTCCTGCGTGGGGGCCGAGATCCGGTAGACCATGTGGTTGCCCTCCACCACGCGGCCGTCGGCCTCCGTCTTGCAGGCCTTGATGAGCTGCCCCTTGTTGTTGGGGATGTACAGCTCAAAGCAGTTCTGAGGGGGGAGAGTGGGGGTGAGGGGGAGCTGAGCACCGGCCTCAGCCGCTCCCCCCTCCCAGCAGGAAGGGGCAGGGTGGTCTTACGGGCTTCCGGGGGTCGTCCACCTCACGGATGCTCAGGTTCTCCAGGGGGATGATTCCACGGGGCTCCTTGTCCTGCACCCACAAGGCAGTCAGGGCTCAGACTCCAAGATCACAACTCCATTTCTCCCCGGGGCCCCAGCCTGTCCTGCTCAGATTGGTGGTCCAAGCTGCACCCCCAGTCCCAGTGTCCTAGAGGCCAGCCCCTAGCCCCTCCCAAGTGCCCTAGGGGATCAGCCCCCAGCCCCTCCTCTCTCCTCCCCAGGAGTCTTGATCCCAGCCCTCCTTCCTCCCACACACACCCCGAGTCCCTCCCTGCCCCTGGAGTCCCACCTCCAGCCTCTCTCCCAGACCCCCCCACCTTCCCCTTCCCATTTTGTCCCTGGTTCCCTCACCGTCGTGTACTCAAAGTAGTAGAGGCAATTGTCAGTAAGAATGAACCAGCGCCGTTTCCATGTCTTCACCCGGCCCCCTGAAAAGGAAGGGGTGGGAGGGGGCCCGGGCTCAACAGGGGGACAGGGCCTCAGGGAGGCTGGGAGGGGTGAGAGGCGGAGAGACAGCAGGGAGAACAAAGACAGCGCAAGGGAACAGGCGGCAGGCGAGGCAGGACAGGCCTGTGGGCTCACGCAGGTCCCCCCACCCCCGCCCACCCCAGCCCCTCCTTCCTCCTCCCCGGGGGCCCTGGCCACCCCCCCAGTTGAATCGCAGCAGCGAGGAGCGGTGGGTACCTACCTCCTGGGGCAGACAGCAAGAAAGCAGGCAGGATCGGGCACAGGAAGAGGGGAGACGGAAGGAGGGGCACCCCAAAAGCCACAAGGCAACAGAAAGAGGCAATGCGAGGTGAGAGCAATGTGTGGTGGGGTTGGGGGGCAAAGGGACAGAAACAGCAGAAGAGGAACAAGCAGAGGGAGTGGGTGGGAGGGAGAGAGAGAGAGAGGGGAGAAAACCAGTTACATCCCTGAGGGGGGAACACCCAGGCCCCCTCTTCCCCTGGGGGACTGGAGCCCTGGAGCCCCCCACCACGGCAGCTGAGGCACCCCGGTGTGGTGGCCTGCCGCAGTGAAAACACCACTTCCCCACAAAGGGAGCTGACAAAACCCCCAGTCCCCGGCTGGGGGTGGGAGGGCCAGCCTGCTGTGTGACCTCCGGGTACCACCAGCCCTCTCTGGGCTCTAGTCTGAAAAGCTGGTGGCTCAGAGACCCCATGGGGCCCCTCCTTCCTGCTTTCAGAGTTCTTGGATGGCTCAAGATTGGTGAACAGGTTACACCACCAGCAGGTCCCCACCATGCTGAGATTCACACCCACCAGACAAGGCCCCTGACCCCACAAGAGTGTCTCCCTAAGCACCGCAAGGAGTCGGGGGCTCAGGAGGGGCCTGTGCGGATGTCTTGGGGTGACTTGCATGCTACACTCTGGAGAGTGGTTAAGTTGGTAGTTCAAGTCCAACAAATGCTCCCTGGAACTAAGATGAGAAGTCTGCTTACTCTGTGACATCAGGCCACTGCTGACTTCAAAGTGACTTGACGGCACACAACAGCCGCACGCACATACACACAGTACTGTAGCATGGTGACTAAAGCCGCCAGTTGCCAACCAAAAGGCTGACAGTTCGAATCCAAGGGAGAGAGAATCTGTAAAGACTGACACTGGCGACCTCGGGGCCATCCTACCCCGTCCTGCAGGGTTGCTGCGAAATCAGACCTGACACACTTGGTTTGGTTTTGGCTTTCTTTAAATCCATACAAGTGTTTATTCTGTCCTCGCCTGGGAAAGAGGACAGAGCACTGGAAATACGGAACGCTTCATGAATTTGCGTGTCATCCTTGGACAAGGGCCATGCTAATCTTCTCTGTATCGTTCCAATTTTAGTATATGT